CGAGTGCTCTGCAGCCTGGAAGCGGGCAGCGTCGGAGGTTTGGCTGTAGCCTGGACTTGCCTGACAGCCGGAGCCACGCTTCTGGCTCCCTCGAACCAGCTTTTCCAGAAGCTCTGCGTGAGCCGTGCCACGATCCTGGTCTGCAAGCCGGAGGACTTGGAGGCCTTTGCCAGGTTGGAAGCCGGGCACGCTCGGCCAGAAACTTTGTCTGCCGTGTGCCTGCAGGAGGGGAGCTGCACATAATGCCACATTGCTTCTTGCTTTCTTGTGGCCCACAGAAGGTTTTGCATGCCTGCGCTGCCGTGCTGTGAGCTTCTTGCAGCCAGGACCTGGGCGTAGGGATGCCGGCGCTCCGCTGGGCACCTAGCCGTAGCCATCTCCGCGTGATGCAGATCGGATCAGCCTGGACCACTGCGACGCCCAGCGTGGCTCCCATGGCTCCCGAGCTCCGGCACGGAGCCTCGATGGAGAGTATAGCGTCGCGGGCCTGGCGAGCCGCTGGCTCCTCGCTGTCCATTGCCTCGACTCTGTCGCCCCCTCAGCTTTGTGATGCTTCGTGAGACTTTTGTAATTTGAGTGACGGGCTGAGGGCTGGATATGTCTTGGGCCAGACTGCAGAAGAGCCTGGGGATTCCTTCGGACCCAGCGCCTGGCCGGTGCTCTGCGCGACAGTGCAGGGGGCTGCGATTCTTGCCACCTGGACGCAAGGGCATGATCGTGCGTAGGATGTTTGTCGTGTGAGAGGCGGGAGATTATGTGTGGCCTTGTCAACCAAGGCACAGCCTGTCTTCGTGGCGGCACGCCTAGTCCTGGCCGAGCGTGTGCTGCTGCCACTGAGCTTTGTGCTGCCACTTTGGGGCACTTTCCTGCTTCTGCTGGGCTTGCTGTTCCTGGAGCAGTTTGTGCGGGTGGGCCTTCTAGCGGTCACCAAGTGGCTTCTCATTGGCCGCTACAAGGAAGGAGAACACGATATCTACAGCTTGATGTACTTGCGGCATTGGCTCGTGGAGCACATGGCAAAGGGCACAATCGTGGGCCAAAATGCGCATCAGGG